AATACATATTTTTATTGATTACAGAGAGGAAGAGAGAGGAGAGACAGAATCATCAATGAAGAAAGAGAATCACTTCTGCATACCCCTCCACTGAGGATCCAACCCGAAACTGGACATTTGCCCTTACATGGGAATCGAACTTTAACCTCCTTGTTTATGGGTCAATGCTCAACCATTCATTGACCCATACCAGCTGGGCTTTTTTTATTTTTATTTTTTTATTACTGTATTTTTGTGTATCTTTTACAAAGTGATAGAATTTTTGTACAAGGAAAAACCTCTTGAGTAATTAAAAAAAAGACTTTTATAATATTAAAAAATGGATTTACCCTGAATTTATTAGGAGCTTAACCTGCTACCTTATACATTTAGGTATTCCTAAGACTTGGAGAGTGAATAGAGTGGTTTCAATCTATATATATAAAAGGCTAAGTGACCAATTGTGTGTTTGTCCGACTGGTCGGTCCATATGACACACTCTGGCAATCCTATATAATAAATCCTATATAATAAAGATGTAATATGCAGATGGTCATTACGCCTTGAAGCATGACGACTGACCACGTAATGACCGGATCATGGATCAGCTGGAGGGTGGGGCAGTGAGCTACAAGCAGGCAGCTGAGAGCTAGAAGAGGGGACAGGGCAGCAAGCTATGAGGAGGGTGTGTGGGGGTGCAGAGGGAGCTACAGGAGGGCAGGGCAGCGGGCGGAGAGCTGCAGGAGAGCAGCAGCAAGCTACTGGTTACTAGCTGGCAGCAGAGAGCTACAGGAGGGGCAGGGCAGCAAGCTATGAGGAGGGATTGGGAGCAGGGGGAGCTACAGGAGGGTGGGGCAGCGGGATGAGAGCTACTGGAGGGCAGCAAGGAGCTACTGGAGAGCTTCTGGCACACGGATTTGTGCGCAGGCCTACTAGTTTTTGAAAATAAATGTTGACTTGCATATGTGCAATACATATAGAGCTCTCGCTGACGTCAACCACACCCATGTGTTTGGAGCTGTCATTGTCGATTGAGAATTTGGTTGCTTTGTTGACATTCTGAAGCTGTGACCATCCTTCCACCCAATAAAGAGCCTATATCTTACAGCTTAATGAAATGCAAAATGAGAATGAAATTGGGAAAGCAAAATGGTTCAGTCACTGTGGAAAAGTTTGGCAGTTTCTATCATCTTAAACATACACTTACCATACAACTGAGCAAATTCACTCTGAGGTATTTACCCAAGTGAATGGACAATTTATGTTCACTTAAAAACCTATGCATGAATGTTTATAATGGCTTTTTTCATAATCAACAAAAATTGGAAACAACACATATGCCTTTCAGCTGGTGAATGATAAATAAACTGTGATACATCCATATAATTGGGTACTGTAAGCAATTAATATTTCTTCTAATTAATTTCCTTTCAATGTGCATGAACCCATGTACTGGACTACTAGTTAGATATAAAAAATGAAGGAGAGCCGGGACCGATTTGGCTCAGTGGATAGAGCGTCAGCCTGCGGACTGAAAGGTCCCAGGTTTGATTCTGGGCAAGGGCATGTCCCTTGGTTGTGGGCACATCCCGGTAGGGGGTGTGCAAGAGGCAGCTGATTGATGATTCTTTCTCATCGATGTTTCAAACTCTCTATCACTCTCTCTTCATCTCTGTGAAAAATCAATAAAATATATTTTTAAAAAAAAAAGTGAAGGAGAATTTGCCCAGCTTGCATATCTCAGTGGCTAAGCATTGACCTATGAACCAGGAGGTCAGGGTTCGATTCCTGGTTAGGGCACATGCCTGTGTTGTGGGCTTGATCCTCATTGGGGTGCATACAGGAGGCAACTGATTGCTGATTCTTTCTCATTGATGTTTCAATCTCTCTTTCTTTCTTCCTCTTTTTGAAATCAATAAAAATATATTTGAAAAAACAAAGGCAAAGGAGAAGTTAATACAACAAATAAAATTAATATATATTTATTCATCTATAATTCATGTGTGTTTCTACTATTTCCTACATATGATGGAAGGGTTTTGGTAGGCAATTTATCAGTAAATATTGATAAGAGAGTTAAAAATCTAGGTTGGAATCTAGGACCTTCCAAGTTTAGAGGAGCTAAATATAATTGAATTATAAGCATTAAGTTTTTTGTTATGGGTGTTGAAATAGTATAACACTAGAAGTTTACCAGTAAGATGTAAAAATTTGTGGTATAGAGCAAAATAACACAAAAAACAAGAATTGAAGTTAATATGTTTGCAAGGAATATAATTATGAGCATTGACATTAGAATTAGTCTTAGATTGTAATGATACATCAGTAACCATATAACCAGATGTAGATATGGCATAGGGAGATATATCATGAGATGTTAATGATGAACTTTCAGGCACATGGATATATACATACATGGTAAAGACCTGAGAGCAGAGGGAAATATCCTCATGTGAGGATTTGGTGTTATTGATTTTTTTTTTCTTTTAGAGAGGGAGGGAGGAAAGGAGGGAGAGCGAGAGAACGAGAGAGGGGGGGAAAGAAGGAAAGAGAGAGAGAGAGAGAAACATTGATGTGAGAGAGAAACATTGTTCAGTTGCTTCTTCTGATTGGGAGTCTAACTCACAACCTTTTGATGTATGGGATGATGCTCCAACCAACAGCCAACCAGCCAGGGCAAATATTACCATATTTAAAATTTTTACTAACCTGTGCCAATTACAAAAATGGGGGTAACCATGTAGGCTTGGTTTTGGAAAGTACTTTTGACCTGATTCCACTTTCTGAGGAATTATAATTAATCTGGGATCATTGCAGTATTATTTTGATTACTAGTATATCTCTTTTTGTCTTGGATGTTACTGAACTGTATGGGAGAATACTAGACAATTAAGCCCCCTATAATACTGCATAGAGCAGAGTTTGCAAAGTGGAGGCTCTCCCTCCCCTCCCCCCAGGCTAAATGGACTTGCACAATCTTTAATGTTTTAAAATTAGCTTCCAATTACTATGTAAAAATTTATGTGAAAATCTAGGTTTTTGGTTCTGACTGAAAAAATGAACTTCTGGCACTTTGGACCTTCTATCTCTGTGGCAGCAGTGAGACAAAGAGCGTTCCCCTGAAGTGAGCCACACCCATTCAGTCTAAGCTGGGCCTAACTGCTTGCATTTATTATGAGCTTTTCAGTGCCTGTAGATGTTTCAATTTTTTATTCTTGCATTATATAACTTTAACATGGATACTGTTTGTTTTTTACTTTCTGTGGCTGTACTGCATCTATTGTTTTTATTTTTCCTGATACCTATAGTGATTGGGGTATATGGCATTCAGTTAGACTCCCTGTATGAGTCTACCTTGTCTGTGCTGTAAATTACATTTTTAAAATCTCAGTGTGCTCCAGTGACTTACCTTACGCTGTTATCAAGGTGATGATAGGGTCTTTTCTGTAGGTTGGATCTTTCCTGAACTGTAAAGAGGATGTTTATAGGTTTGGTTTTAGTTTCCAGCAAAGTTGTTCATTGGAGACCATTTTGTGCCTCTTTCAGCATCAAGCATTTTTAATGTATATCCTGTTTTTTTTGTTTTTGTTTTTTTGGGGGGTCTTTTCTTTTCTTACATTTTTTCTAGGGACTAATATGATAAATCAGTTTGTTAATGTGTTTGACAGGTAATTGTGATTAGACCATTATTGCTCATAGGTAATATACCATTATTTTGAAAAAGTGTGAGAGATTATGATGATGAAAATTTTATCTGCATTGGGGACACTACAAGTACTCTTAAGAAAGTAGACATTTCAGTTTTATCATTTAAAACAAGCTATTTCAAAATAGCTTATTCATTCTGAATATATTTTTTATTTATTTTATTTTTAAAATATATTTTATTGATTTTTTACAGAGAGGAAGAGAGAGGGATAGAGAATTAGAAACATCGATGAGAGAGAATCATCAATCAGCTGCCTCTTGCACCTTCCCCCCCTCCCCCCAATGGGGATGTACAGTTTCCTTTTTTATCTCTCAAGGAAGATAGACTTTCAGTCAGATCAACCCTTAATACTGAAAATATTGAGTTATGTAAGCTAATTTTCTACTATTTTTTAAATCCAAAGACAGTAAAAGAAAGCATTTCTGTTTTGGTAAATCCAAAGGAAGCTCCTTGTTCACATAAAAAGTAAATTATTGCTGAATTGGAAAATCAGTAAGCAATTCAGAAATGATGAGAATGAATGAGTCTGGGAGCTTAAGTGATGCTCACTAGTTCACTGCAGATTTAAAGATATATTGTCTATTGCTGTGTAATGAATTACCCCCAAACTTAGCAGTTTAAAATGAAAGATATTTATTACCTTATACAGTCGCTTAGGGTTAGAAATTTTGGAACAGCTTAGTTGAGTGCTTCTGGTTTAGGATCTCTCACGAAGTTGTAGTATAGTGTCATTAAAAACTAAATAAAATCCATCAAACACATTAACATAATGGCACAAGTTTATAGAAGCTCTGCCAATTTATGTATGGTCAGATTTCAGGTAGTTACTTAGGGACTAAGTAGTGTCTGAGGTCTTTTGGCAAAACTTGTGGGTAATATTTCAAATGAACAAAATACAGATTTATTTAAAATAAAGTATAGGCCTTTAAGTTTACACGCTTAGACTAAGCATTGATGCTAATTCTATGTTAGTCCAGGCAGCTTTTTCATTTTCTCTCTGCTAATTTGTATACCAATAAAGGATGGTTGAATCAACATCTGTTTTTCAGTAAAAGGAAGTTTAACACATGCAGAAAAAGTATTTTCAGCATTTGTCATTTAAACAAATAGAAATGAGTTTAACAAAATGTTATGTTCAGACAAAACACCAGATAAAATTTTTTATGCTTGTTTTATTCTCATTCTAACAACAAGTCCTCCCTCCAGTGGCTGCTATTACAGCATTTTCTTTTTTCACCTTATTTTGGGAAAACAAGGAAAGTTACTTTTCCCCCATTTTTGTGTTATGTTGAAAGACTGCCAGATGATCCTCTGTGGGAAATATTCTTTTGTGACTAGATGAGCTCATCCTCTAGTAACCAAGGGGGCAGATTATTCTGAATTGAATTCTAAGTTCTTGTCTTTCATTTTCAAGTTGCTTATAACTGCTCCTTATGCCAGTGTTTAAAAATTTTAATTGCATGTATATCTTCAAAGGCAGATTTTAAATGTTATATTTAATAATGACAGTATACAATATAAATGACAGTTGACATTTTCAGAAGTATGGAGTTGTATTTTAAAATATCCTATATAATAAAAGCCTAATATGCTAAGTGTCCAGTCTTCTGGCTATCCATTCAACCAACTTGGCCAGCTCCCCCATTGGTCCTGATCAGTGGGGCCCGACTGGCCAACCTCTCAGGATCCCTCTCCCTTCCCCATCAGCCAGCCCCCCCATAGGCCTTGATAGCCAGCCAGTCTGAGGGACCCAAACGTGCACGAATTCATCCACCAGGCCTCTAATAATTATATAATAAACAACTAAATTCACCACTTCATCCATGACTCAAAACACTATCATTAACTTGCATTGACCTGTGTGTTTCTCCCCATCTCATGTCCCTCTCACTATTCTTAATTTTTCTTATAATTTCATCACCTAAATTGTGATACTAATAAATTTGTTTTAGTTTAGTTTGTTTATGAATCCTATATAAATGGTATTATACTCTATGTAGTCTTCTGAGACTTGGTTATTTATTCAATATTGCTTTGGGAAAATTCGTCTGTGTTTTTTAGTACAGTTTTGATTCATTCCTTTTCACAGCTATTACTCTTCATCTCTATTAATATACTATAGTATATATACCCTTCTACAATTAGGAACCAACCTTTTCTAGGTATAATAGACACTAAGATGGCCCACAATGATCTATGCTTCTTAATATTATAGACTCCTTATACTTCTTATATATATGCTTCTTAATATATGATAATAATAGACTCCCTCCTACATTGAGTAGGGTTGCCCTTTGTTTCAATAGAGTATTGAGAAAGTGATGATGAAACTTGTGGCAGTTCTATCTATCTGGAGAAAGCCAGAAACCATGTCATGGAGATACACAAGGAGACCCAAGGAGACCCTGTGGGGAGGTGTTGAGGCTTCTAGTAACAATATTACCAGTAATTCATCTGTATGAGTAAGCCATCTGTAGCTCCAATCAAGCCTTCACATGATTGTAGATCTTGCCAATATCTCTTGACTACAGTCTCCTGAACCTGAACCAGAACCTCCCTACTTAGCTGCTTCCAAATTTCTAACTCACAGAAACTGAGAGGTTATAAATGTTTATTGTTTTTGACAAATATATTTTGAGATAACCTGTTATGGCCGCTATAAATAATAAATAAATTGGCTTTTTGATTATGTGAACATTTTGTAAACATTTTTTATATCTGTCTTCAGATGTATATGTGCAAGACTGGGTAGTGGACTAAGATGTGAGATTGTTGGGTTGAAGATTATAAAAATGTTTAACTTGGAGATCACATGCCAATTTTTCCAAAGTGGTTGTACTAATTTATATTTTGATGAGCAGTGTGAATCAGAATCTCCATTCTACTCCATTCTTCTTAACTTTTGGCATTGTTAGGCTCTTTAATCTTGTTTAGTCTGGTGAGTGTAAAATAATCTCTTTTTAAAAAAATATATTTTATTGATTTTTTACAGAGAGGAAGGGACAGGGATAGAGAGCCAGAAACATCGATGAGAGAGAAACATCGACTAGCTGCCTTCTGCACGCCCCCCACCAGTGATATGCCCACAACCAATGTACATGCCCTTGACCAGAATTGAATCTGGGACCTTCCAGTCCGCAGATTGATGCTCTATCCTCTGAGCCACACCGGTTTCGGCAAAATAATATCTCTTTACAGTTTTATTCCCTGCCCCAGCATTAAAACAGTAGTCTCTTATATCTTCTCCTAAAAAGTTTAAAGTTTTGATTTTCACATTTATGTCCTTAATCCATCCCACTGCTGCCACAATGTAATAATGTCAGTATATGGAGAGAGGTAGGTATTTAATTTTTTACCTATGTAGTTAAGCAGTTGTCCAGTTATTGAAAAGTCCATCTTTTCCCCAGCAATATGTCAGTGTTGTCTGTGTCACATTAATCTGTTATGTGGATTTGTTTTGGAGTTTCATCCTATTCTATTGGTCAGTTTGTTTATTCCAATACTAATGACATAGTGTCTTCATTATTGTCATACTTAGTAAGGCAAGTCTTCCTATCATATTATTTTTCCTTTGGAGTGTCTTAGCTATTCTTGGCCATTCTTCTTCCATAGTATTTTCTTAAATAGCTTTTCAAGTTTTTGTGGAAAAAGAAAAAGTTGAGTTTGAGTGGGATTGCATGGACTCCCTTTATCAACTAGAGGAAATTGATATATTCACAGTATTGAATGTTTCTATCCATGAATGTGGCAAAGCTATGTATTTATGCATCTTTAATGTCTTTCAGTAACATTTTATCATATTCTGCTTATAGGTTTTATTAGACTTATTATGTACATTTTATTTTTTGTTATTATAAATTATCCTTTTAAAAACTTGTTTTATAACTTATAGTTGCTGGTATTCATAAATACACTTCATTATAAATACACTAAATTCTCTCTATTCCTAATGTAGTTAGAAATTTTTCTTATTTTTTTATTCTTGAAAATCTTGTTCATTTTTCTTGTTTTGTTGTTGATATTGTTTTAGATATATCATCTGCAAATAATAACTTTGTTTTCCTATTTTCAATTTTTATACATTTTAGTTTATTTTTGCATATCTTATACTGGCTTTAATCTCCTCCAGAAAAACTTTGACTAGAAGTGGTTAATAGTAAAGTGATAATGATGAGCATTCTTTTCTGGACCTGATTTTAAAGAGAATCTTTTTAATATATTACCAAGAAGAGTTGTTTTACTGTATTTTTTTTGAACCCTCTATCATGTTAAGGATTTTTCTTTTTATTACTAGTTAGCTATAACTTCTCTTCCAAAAATGAGTATCAAAGTTGAGTATCATTTTTTATCAAATACTTTTTCTGCAGATATGGATGTTATTACGTATTACTTTTTCTTTATGCTAATTTAATTTGTAAAAATATTTAATTTTGCAATGTACTACTTTCTGAGTTTATTGTCAACAGATGGGTCTCTCTGGGTACTTTAATGTTTGAAGTGAAGTCTAGTAAAACTCTTGACTCATGGCCATAGGAAGGGATTCTACCACCATGTGCTTATGTAGACAGTAGAAATGAGAGCTATTTGGCATAGTTTGTTTAAGCATAGATCTAGTAACATAAATGGCTTAATGTTTCACAAAGTGTCCTTGTGCTGACAACTGCAGTGCCACAGAGTTAATTTCCTGTAATTAATCGTTTGGCTAAGTCGCGGTTGTCTTCTGTGCCAAAAAACTATTTTGTGGGCCAGGAGGGTTCAGAGCTCTTTGCTTTTGAAATAAGAGATTTTGCTGCTTTCAAATCCTTTGTTAATTTAGGCAAGGTATGAATTGTGTGTATTGTTTTCTGAATAAAGTAAATAACCACAGTAACTAATATGGTAGCTTAAACAGTTTGCTTGAAGTTTCAGATTCCTAATTCTCTCTTTTTAACATCAGATAATTGCACTATCACAGCAATACTGAGCCTCCTCAAATCTTTCTGAGTTCATCTCCTGTTAGTTCCAGGATGTGGGTATTGTTGAAATATGGTACAAACATGAAATTCTAGAAAGCACTATCTTTTCATGAAGAATTGGGAAATCTAGAAACCAAAAAGAAATTCATTCTGAAGGCACTTAAAAAACATTCTCAGTTGTTAACATATTTAGGGAAAGTCAGGCTCCACAGATTTTCCCCTTAAATAAACAATAAGGAGTGCACAATCAGTACACATTGGATATGAGTGGAGTTTAAATGACTTATGTGCAATATACTGTGGTCTTCAATAAAGCTTTGCCAGTAAGCTTTATTGCTGGTGTTACTAGTATAACTTTCTGGGGTTAAGGGTAAATTGCTTGATTATATGTTCAAGTTTTTTAAATTTTTTTTTCTATAGTAAATGGTAAGTTTCTCACTTTGAACTACTAAGTACAATGTGTGGGATCAGTTGAAATAATCAAAATAATAATAATAAAGCAGTTATTGCATATTTCAACCCTTACACAAAATTGGGTAAAAGTGTGGGATACTATTAGATGGTATATGGACAAGGAATTACTAAATTTTGAACAAATGAATCAGTATTTCTGACCGGATTTTCATTGGAAGATGTATATAAATGGTAATGACAGGCCAGGTAGGCAAATTGCCATTGACACAGAGCCCCTGAACTAGAACTCTAACCTGTTCTAGTTAAATGCAAATTTAACTCTTTTAACAGAATTGAACTCTTTGATTTCCAAAAACTTTACATAAAATTTTCACCTTGCATACCCAGGAAATAATGTGTTTGCTCCCAATGTCTAGGTAGAACAAGCCTAGGTGGTTGCCAGCCTAGCTCTGGTGAGAGGGATGGTAGGGACATTTGAAAAGAGAAGTTCTTTAAGTGAGTCTGCCTGAAACCACTTATCATAACTGTTTCATGAAAGGAAAAGAGAAGAGTGAGATGGTCAAGCCTCCTTGCTTTTGAGACTACAATGCAAATGTATCTCTAGGACTGCTGGACTCATCACTTCAGAAAGAAACCATTTTATTTTTGGCAATTATGAACATTTGCGTATAAGTTTTGGTTTGAACATGTGTTTTCATTTCTCTGGTATATATACCTAGATGTGGAATTTCTGGATCAGAGGGTAAACGTATGTATAACATTTTGAGGAGCTGCCAAACTGTTTTTTAAACTAGCTGCACCAGTTTACATTCCCACTAACGATGTCTGAGGCTTCCAGTTTCTCCATATTCTCACCAACAGTTGTTACTGCCCTTCTTGTTTATAGTTATGCTGTCGGGTATGATAACATTTTTGACTTGCATTTTCCTAGCAACTAATGATATTGAACATATCTCTTGCACATTTGCATATCTTTGGTGAAATGTGTTTTCATATCTTGTCCATTTTTTAAACTAAGTTATTTGTCTTTTTATTGTGATGTTGTCAGTTATTTTGGGAACATTTTGTTTCTTAACATCAGAAGGATTTTTGTTTAATTTTCAAAAAAGAAAAACATTTATTGAATAGAAAATTACAGTTTAGATTTCTCAGAAGCAGTTGCTGGGACAAAATTTGGAGTGGATGATTATTAGAGTTGGACACTTGGGGAAAAAGAAAGAGGACAATAAGATGGTCAGAGGGAAAAGTTGAACATACTGTAGGCCTGACAAACCTCTGCCAACCTGTTGGCAGTGAGCTCTGGAGCTAATATTGCCTTGCAGGTTATCCTGCGTCAGGCAAAATGGCTGGGCCTTCACACTGTCACTGCTTTAACCAGTGAGTGACAGTCAACCTGGGAAAGGCATGACCTTGAATGAGGCAAGTCTGCATCTGAGGTGGACTCTGATGTGGTGAACAGTTGGAGGCTGTTTGCTGATTGCAATCCCTGCAGCTGAGCAAGTTCTTCTTGAAGGGGAATCTGGAGAGTTCACCTTTGTGTCTCCCATATGCATATTTTTATTTATTTATTTATTTATTTATTTATTTTAAAAAATATATTTTATTGATTTTTTACAGAGAGGAAGAGAGAGATAGCCAGAAACGTCAATGAGAGAGAAACATTGACCAGCCACTTCCTACACACCCCCCACCGGGGATGTGCCCACAACCAACGTACATACCTTTGACCGGAATTGAACCCGGGACCTTTCAGTCCGCAGTCCGACACTCTACCACTAAGCCAAACCAGTTTTGGCCCACATGCGTATTTCATTTTAAAGTATAGGTTAGACCTTGAATTCATGCAGCTTAAAAGAGTTGCTAATGACTCTGTATATTTGGAATGAGAAAACTGGTTTTAGGCTTTGCAAATATGTTATTACTTCTATATTATGGTATTGTTACTTTGAAATTTAAGAAGGTAGTTTCTATTTGTTCAATTTGGCCTAGAGTTATATGCATATACTAGAGGCCCGGTGCATGAATTCGAGAAACAGTGGGGTTTTTTGACCTGGTCTGCGGGATTGGGCTGAAACTGGCTTTTTGACGGGCTGAAACTGGCTTTTTGACATCTCCAAGCAGTTCCAGATTGGGAGAGGGCACAGGCCAGGTCGAGGGATCCCACAGGTGCATGATCAGGAGGGACACGGGAGGTTGGCCAGCCTGGGAGGGGGCCATGGGAGGACTCTAGGGCATGTCCGGCCTGTCTTGCTCAATCTCAATTGGCTGGACCCCAAAAGCAAGCTAACCTACTGGACTGAGCATCTGCCCCCTGATGGTCAGTGCAAGTCATAGCAAGTGGTTGAGCAGCCTTAGCATATCATTAGCATATTATGTTTTGATTGGTTGAGAGGATGACCTGACAACTGAACACTTAGCATATTAGGCTTTTATTATATAGGGTAATATTAATTGTGTTTTATTGTTTATATTTACCATAGGATTAGTGTGTCCTAAGTAGCTTATGTTACATTTATATTTGACCCATAAAAAAGAGGCTACTATGTGTTTGACATATTCTGTTTTTCTAAAATTTTGAGCATATTTTCTTTTTTGAGAATTATTTTTTTCTCAGCCTTCGGTCTTCTATTTCTGTCCCATATTATGAAAATGCCATAAAAGACTACTTAAACTATTTTTTCTTAGGGGAAAGGATTCCAAAACAGATAATTGTCTTAAGAATTATCTTAGCCCTTGTTTAATTTCTTAACTTTACTTTTAGCATCGTCTTGCAAGTATTCTAAAATCTTTGTATTTGAAATTTCTTACCTGTTGACTCTTTATTTTAGATGCTTTGATTACAAAGTATTGTGAGGAATGATGGGTAGTAATTTTTATTAATCTGAATTCTGAATAGCAAACCAATAGACTAAGAAAATTTTAGTTGATATAATTAGGTACCTCCAATTTGCTCAAAATTCAAATTATAAACTCACTGATAATATAAATTAGTACATGAGAGTGGAAATAAAAATACTGGAATTTTTAGTTTTTCTTGTTGAAGTTGAGTACTTTGACTCTACCAGGATGGTGGTATAGAGGAGCTCAAAACTAAGTGTCAGAGAAGACCAGAGTTGGAATCCTAACCACCCATTACCATCTAGGTTGCCTTAACAAGGCTACTTAGCTTCTCAAAGCCTGGAATGCCTCATCTCTGTAAAATACAGATATGCCAACTATGCCTTCCCTTCTTAGTTGTAATGACCTAATAAGATAATGAGTATGAAAAAACTTGGTGACTTTGGGGCCAACATGTGTGTTTAGGAGATAGTTTGGAACAGTGTTCTTTGTACATAACTTTAATATAAATGAAGATGTAGAACTCATATACTTGAACCTTTTCTAGACAAATATTTCATGAGTGGAAAGGAGTTTAAACAAATTATATCATAACTAATTTAAATTTAATCATGTTTATCTTCAATATAATTTTGGAAACCTGTCAACTCAACAGGTATTGTGGGACTTTATTATTTGTTCATTAAATTCATCTAAATGATGCACATCAAAAGTTTTTCATTCCTATAAATTGGTCTGATTAGGATATCCTTAGAGTTTGAGCACAAATTAATTGGAACCCAATTAGTTTTGATTTATGTGGATTAATATTTGTAAAAGAATTTATGGTTTGCACAATGTTTTTATGTACATTCTTTCATATAATCTTCATAATTGCCCTATAAAAGTGAAGTGTGTTTTGTTGTTGTTCCCATTACTAGTTGTGACTTTCTCAAAGTCATTCACCTACCAGATGGTAGAATTGAGATTTAAAAAGAAACACACATACCACTTTTTTTCTTTCATTTCAAACATATTATATCATATTGTTTGGGAAACTAGGGAATTATTTTAGATAGGCTTGGATTGGAACCAGGTATTTCTATTCTCAGCCAAATCTCAATCTAAACATAGATTACATTTGCTATAGAAGCTACTGTTTTCTATGCACCAAAGGCCCATTTTACCCTGGCCTTTTTCTTCCAGGTCTATTCTAATCCGATTCCTTTATTCTTCAGCATTTTTTCCCAGTGCCCATGTCTGTATACACACACACACACACACACACACACACACACACATTCACTCTTTCTCCCTCTCCCTCTAAAACATATATTTATGCACAGGAGCCTCAAAACTATCCTAACATATAAAAACCCTGGGTTCGTCACATCCAAAGTGGCTGGAGGCTCAACCAACCAGTTGCTGTAGCAACCTAGCACTGACTGCTGAGGGGGCTGCGAATTAGGCCTGGAGAGAGGCCTAAAGAGAGAAGCAGGGTCTAATCTGTAGCTTCTGTGGCAGCTGTTGATCAGCACTTGCCTCTCTCTCTCTGGGCCTGGCCAGCAACTGTGCCTCCATTTCTTTCCAGGCCTCCACTAGGGCTGCTAATCAGAAAGGCCCACCTTTCTTTTCTGATCAGGCCACTTTTTTTTTTTTTTTTTTTTTTTTTAAACATATTTTTATTGATTTTTTACAGAGAGGAAGGGAGAGAGATTGAGAGCTAGAAACGTCGATGAGAGAGAAACATCGACCAGCTGCCTCCTGCACACCCCCCACCGGGGATGTGCCCGCAACCAACGTACATGCCTTGACCGGAATCGAACCCGGGACCTTTCAATTAGAACCAAATCCGGGTGAACTGTGAGAAGTCAATGGCTCCCTAGGAGGTGGAGCTTTTGACACTGAATGGCATAGAAACTGACCAGTCAGAATCAAATCTGGGTGAACTGTGAGGATCCAATGGCTGCATAGGAGGCTGAGCTTTTAACACTGACTGGCATAGAAACTGACCAATCAGAACCAAATTTACTGGCAGAAGAGGGCAGTTGGGAGCGAGATCAGGGTGGCAGGGTAGAGCAGTTAGGGGTGATCAGGCTGGTAGGGAGGGCAGTGGGGGGCAAACAGTTGTGTTAATCAGGCCAGCACGGGTGAGGTTAGGGGGTGATCAGGCTGGCAGGCAGATGAGCATTAGGAGCCAGCAGTCCTGGATTGTGAGAGGGATGTCTGACTGCCGGTTTAGGCTCGATTCCTGTGGACATCCAGCAATTGGACATCCCTTGAGAGGTCCCAGATTAGAGATGGCAGGCTGGGCTGAGGGGCACCTCCTCCTCCCCTCCAGTGCATGATTTTTATGTACAAGGCCTCTAGTAAGCTATAATAATATATAAACACTATAAACAATATAAACACTAATCCTGGGAATATTCTGAGCTAACCTTTGCAGTTTTGAGTAACCTGGATATTTGAATAGGTCTTTTGGTTCCTTAAGAATCTCTGGTACCGATTCACATATTCTACTTTTAATTGCAAGTAGGCTATTGTCAACTGGACTTCCAGAGTCTGACTTAGTGAACAAAGATTCTTTGGGACCAAACCAGCTCCAGTAGTTCCAGGAATTAACCCAGTTTTCTCTCTCTTGTGATATATTTTGCACATTCATCATTGCTTTTATAATGTGAGGTGGAAAAGCCTTCTCTTGCAAAAATTATCTATATCTAATTCCATTTATACTTGCCTAAAAGCAAACAGACCTAAAAACTAAGGCTTCTGTGTATTTTTCTTTACATTTTGTAAGTGCTCAGGCCATATTTTGAGCAAACAGGGCAATAAGAAATATTCTACTGTTTTATGTTTTGAAATACTGGCTAGATAAAGATTACACATGACAAGTTACAGCTTTATTTATATGTACTGGGTTCTCTGTTGGAATCATAGAAGGGAAGAAGATATGATAATTGCTTTGTGTAGTTCACAGAATGAAATCACAAACTGAGGTGTTTTGAATCTAGTTTATACTGTAACATTTCTAGGAGACCATATTTAAACAGCAGTAGTTATCATGAAGTATACAACTTGTCAGCTGTGTCCGAATTCATATCAGTAAAAACCTTCCACCACTTTATTCCCTATAACCTAACCTCCATCAGATAATACTAAATAAACTATGTCGAGTGCACATATTAATATATATCAAATGTATCAAATAGCTTCCTGGCTGCATTTTCAGTAGTGTTTATCTGTGGTCGTGCAGGTTATAGCTCTGAATTTTTATTAGGAAAACAAAATTGAGGATTTTAAATGTCCCTGATTTAATTTCACCAGCTGTACCACGGCCATGGAAAATAACACGAGAGGGGGAAAATGTAACAGTAAATAAGAGAGCAACAGAGCTCTTCTTTTTCGTGGTGCCTTGGAGGCTGCTGGCTGCTTCAGGATGAAGCTCAAGATCTCTTTCCCAGCCACTGGCTGCCAGAAACTCATTGAAGTGGGCAATGAACACAAACTTCGTACCTTTTATGTGAAGCGTCTGGCCACAGAAGTTGCTGCTGATCTCTGGGAGAAGAATGGAAGGGTTAAGTGGTTCAGGTCAGTGGTGGGAATGACAAACAAGTTTCCCCATGAAGCAGGGTGTCTTGACCCATGGCCTAATCCAACTGCTGCCTAGGAAGGAGCAATCCTGTTACAGACCAAGGAGAACTGGAGAGAGAAAACGAAAATCTGTTCGGGGTTGCATTGTGGATGCCAATCTCAGTGTTCTCAACTTGGTCATTGTAAAAAAAAAAAAAAAAAAAGGAGGGTAGAAAGATATTCCTGGTCTCCCTGTGCCTTGTCACCTGGGGCCCAAAAAAGCTAGCAGTATCCACAAACTTTTCAGTCTCTCTAAAGAAGATGATGCCCGCAAATATGTTGCGAGAAAGCATCAAGAAACTTAGGACTAAAGCACCCAAGAGTCAAAGTCTTGTTACTCCACGTGTTCATCCATACAAATGCAGGGGTATTGCTCTGAAGAAACTACGTGCTAAGAAAAACAATGAAGAGGCTATAGGATATGCTAAACTTCTGGCTAAGAGAATGAAGGAGGCCAAAGAAAAATACCAGGAACAGATTGCGAAGAGACGTAGACTGTCCTCTCTGAGAGCTTCTACCTCTAAATCTGAGTCCAGTCAAAAGTGAGATGTTTTGCTTCATGCTTACCTGTTTTGCATCTTCTGCTATGGTTTAGGGGTTCAGGGTCTCAAGTAGTAGTTTCCTAACTTATGTATCATCACTTCAATGAGTTGCAATGTGTATTTTTAGTTATTCTCCTATAGAATAAGAATGTAATTGTTAGTTGATGTTTAATCTTGGGAATCTTGAAAATGATTTTTTTAAATGTGAATCTTTCCCCCTTCTATCTTTTATAAATATCCCTTGAGCTCCAAATATGCCAGACATTGTGCTAGGAACCTGACATGGAGATTGAAGTCTACAGAGGGAATGAACATATTAGTCAACATTGCAGAGTATTTAGAGCTTTTAAAAAGCCTTGTTGAGTTATAATGGATATATAGCATTGTGTAAGTTTAAGGTTCACAGTATGCTGATTTGATGGCACTATATTTGCAAAATGAATAGTACAGGTTAATTAACACATCCCTCACCTGACATAGTTACCTTTGTGTGAGGTGAGAACTTTTAAGATCTACTCTCTTTCAAGTATACAATACACTATTAACTATAGTCACCATGCTGTCCATAGCTCCCCAGAACTCTAAAATATAAATCTGGAAAAGGACTAGCATCAAAAATATTTTATAATTTCACTTTTGTTTAAATGATCACAATGAAATAAATGTATAAATTGTTCTGTTTAGAAATCAGGTATGTTGAGTCTAATGAAAAGTAACTGAACAGTTTATATTTATAAGAAATACTGTATTAGCAGAGTGATAGAGTAAAAATGCAGCAAGTCCCTTGTAGATAGTTAATTTAGTTGTGGAATTGCTAGCAGAATACTATATAGAATCTCTCATTATGAACATTTCTCTTTAATTTATCTACCGTATTTTTCGGACCATAAGACGCACTTTTTTCCCCCCAGAAGTGGGGGGGAAAAAGTCCGTGCGTCTTATGGTCCAAATATAGCTTACACATATACTTTAAAAAAAAAGTTTTTTACTTGCCCGGCTCTGTGTGGTCTCTGTGTGCTTGCCCGGCTCTAAAATGGTTCTAAATGCTGCTGTTTACTTTACAGGGTTGATTACATGTGTTTATGACTGTGATGTTGGGTTTTAATGCACATAAAATATTTTAGGACACTATTTGTTTCAGAATTTTTTTTTCTTCATTTCCCTTCTCTAAAAACTGGTGCGTCTTATGGTCCGGAGCGTCTTATGGTCCGAAAAATACGGTAATAAGGAGTCACTGGTGAAATGTACACAGACTTGTGGAACTTTTAACTGATGAGACTAACTCTCAGATATAAATAGTCCTTACAACATTGCTGTTTTATAATGATGTTTAACTATAAATCTAAATCTCATATATATTACTTATGGTTACTTTGCAGTTTGACTTGGTAGCTAGAGAGTTAGGTCCCCACTTGGGCTACGGCCATGGCCATGTCTTATTTGACTAACCCTCTTATCTTGTAAATTGCCCATCCTATAGACTAGGCTATGTTCCTTAAGAAAATATAGACACATTTTATTCATATAGAAGTTACAGAATTTTAAATGAAGTATTCACAGCAGAATAATTCTTTCATGTTAAGTTAAAAAAAACTTTCTCAGTCAAAAATTGCTTACATTCATTCTAGTTATTGCTACACTCTGCTAACTATGAAAATGACTCAGTTTTTAAAGATAATTATAAAATGTATCATTGAATGGAAATGGGGGTTTGCTTAATGGTAGCAAATCAATTGGGTTCTTCAATCAGAGAAATATTCAGTCTTATTTTATTATTGTCATGAATGTAGTTTTTAAATTATTTTATTAACAGTAATGGTTTGACTAAATTAGTTTAATTTTTTCATTATATGTGTTGCAGTTTTTTTCCTTTTAATTTAGGAATAGTGGGTAGTTTCAAAAACTGTAACTTTCTTTTAAGATAAATTGTAAGCATGTGTTATCTATAAGGTCAGGATGTCTTCTCCTGGAACATGCAGATAGCCAAAAGGAGAAAAATACATAAATACAAAAAGTAGCTATAAATTAAATCTAATGTAATTAAAAAACAACTCTAAAAAGAAAAAAAAAATAGCGCTTTTACTATGAAACTATGGAAACTAATGTGTCCTGCGATAGGGGACTGGGTAAAGAAGATGTGGTACATATATACATTGAAGTACTACTTAACCATAAGAAAATATGAAATACTGCCATTTGCAACAACATGATGGACTTGAGAATATTAGACTAAGCAATATAAGTCAGTCAGAAAAGGTTAAGAACCATATGATTTCACTCATATGTGGGATATAAAACTGAAACTCATAGATGGACAACAAAATGGTGGTTACCAGAGGGAAGGGGGGTAAGAGAAAAGGAGACCAAATATATGGTGATGAAAGATGATTTGACTTTGGGTGGTGGGCACATAATGGAATATACAGATCATGTGTCATAGAAATTGACACTTGAGACCTATATAATCTTAAAACCAATAAATTTGGTTAATCTTATTATCCCAATAAATTTAATTTTTAAAAAAATGAAACTATGTTATATTCAATGTCTAGAAACCATAATCTACAAATGGCAGTCCAGTGAACAATAACAATATAAAATTATGATTTATCAAAGTCTAATTTTGCACTTATACTATAGATCAGCGTTTTTCAACCGCTGTTCCGCAGCACACTAGTGTGCCGCGAGATGTTGCCTGGTGTGCCGTAGGTGCAGACAAGACAAGAATTTTATAATTTTTCACTATTTTGTTTACTTAATATTTCATAATAAAGTAATTATAAAATACTTTCTTTGTGTTTATTTGATTCCTATTCAAGAGAATTACTTTATATATAGTCAATATAGGCACAGAGTTAAATTTTTTAACATTTTCTAATGGTGGTGTGCCTCGTGATTTTTTTCATGAAACAAGTGTGCCTTTGCCCAAAAAAGGTTGAAAAACACTGCTATAGATAGCTTTTCCCAGGGTTTCTACTCAATGCAGAGATGCCTCCTGGTGGTCAGTGCACTCCCAAAGCCAACCTCCTGTGGTCCCTCCTCCCACTGGCCAACTTCCTGTGGCCCTGATTGCTGGCCAGGCCAAGGAACTCCACCCACACATGAATTCATGCACCGGGCCTCTTGTTAGATGATAAGGAACTAAAACTAAATAGTTTATCTAAGTTCAATTCAGCAATATTAGGTATCTGTATGTACTCTCAGGTATTGTGTTTTGTGACATGAGAGATATAATGATGAAAAACCTTAATACCTCTGTCCTGGTGCTTGTAATCTTTTCGCTGACCTAGACAAATATATAAATAACTACAGTGCAAGGCAGCCTATGATGAGGATATAGTATAGACATCAACAAAGTACAGTGGAAAATCAGGATAGAGAGATTAGTCTCGACTGGGAGGATTAAGAAAGTTCTCATAGAATAGGCAGGATTGAGTAGAGCTTAATTTATTGCTTTCATTCATTTTAGACTGTCTTCTGAAGATTGATGTCTATTTCCTTGAGCTCTTTAATTTTGTGTCCAATTTGGATAAGCATGGCACAAATCCAGCAGGGAGGTCCAGATGAAAAAGAAAACACTACAGCACTGAAAGGTACATAATTAAATTGCTTTTTTAGGATATTTTCACTGTGCCTGATGAAGGTATAGGAATATTTAGGTGACCTGCTGTTTATTTCAATTCAAAAATAAAAACAAAACTTAATCTATTTGTAATTATTTGTGTCCCTCCAGCAGTTATTTTAGTGTCTGAGATATAGTCTGTACTCAGCAAATAAATCATAGAATCATGTAATTTTACAGTCAGAATTCTTAATGCTTTTCTTATTCAAGGCCATATAAATTTATGGCAAAACTAACACTATAGGTAGTCCAATTATCATATTTTTTAGGATAGTGATCTGCCTAACCCTGCATTTTATCTTTGTGGCATTGGCATGAGGATACATTATATCCCTTCATGTTAACATCTCAGAAGGAATCTTAGACATTTTTTTTTTTTTTGGAATTTTTGAGTTCTAGACTTTAAAAAATAAAAAAGCTATCTAAAATAATTTTACCTCTAAAAGAAGTATTCATTATGGACCTGTAAGTTTTCTTTATTATCATTTATTCCTGTCTCACTGTCTAGTGACTTGCCCAAGATCAGATTATCTAAGTAACTTGTATAAGGTCTCATGTTTACTTTGTTTGGCAGTAGCAAAAATATATTTTGGGTTTTCTAAATGTTGAGATGCCAACTATGCCAGCTGATGAAAATCTCATTTGTGGGAATGGCTGGGGTTGGGGTGGGCGGTCAACTGGAGAAAAAGGAGGCATATGTAAAACTTTATACAATTAAAAAAAAAGTCTCATACTTGATTCAGCATAGAGTCTATTTGGTATTCAAGATGCTTTGTAGGAGGTGCTTCAGCTGAATATGTACCAGACTGTCTTGGTTTTGGCAACTTCTCTGAATATCTAGCTGTTGTCCTACTCTGCAACGCTAGGCTGGATGATAAAGATACCTCAAGAATCTCTTTTACTGCCTCCTTTTATCTCTTCATGAAATCCTAAAGCTTATATAGGATAAAGCAGCCAGTTGACTTGTCCCTGTTTTAAAGCAAATGATCTATCAAAGTGATGGTGTAACTAGCCCTTATCTACAAAAATGGAAAATGGCTTTCCATTGCTTTCTTCTCACAAATGTGAAGTCTTTGATTAGGATGATAAAGAATGGACAGATTCTGGTTATATTTTGAAGGAAGAGATGACATCACAGAATTTGTTTTGGATTAGACGTGAGATGTAAAAAAACAAAGGTAACTTTGAAGCCTCTTGGCCTAAATAGCTTTAAGATAGGTGCCATTAATTATATTAAGAAAAGTGGGAAAAGCTGGTGGCAGTGGTAGTAGTTGTAGTGGGAAATAAGAGTTAGCTTTTATATGTATTAAACTAAGATGCCCCTTAAACATGAAGGTGGAGAAGTTGAGTGTGGAGTATGGGAGAGCAGGTGGGTTAGAATAATAGTTTTGGGAATCATTAATGTAGAGATAATATTTATTTATTTATTTATTTAAATATATTTTATTGATTTTGTATAGAGAGGAAGGGAGAGAGATAGGGAGTTAGAAACATCGATGAGAGAGAGTCATCTATCAGCTGCCTCTTGCACACCCCCTACTGGGGATATGCCCGCAACCAAGGTACATGCCCTTGACCGGAATCGAACTCCGGACCCTTCAATCCCCAAGCCGACGCTCTATCCATTGAGCCAAACCGGTCTCAGCTAGAGATAATATATAAAGTTATGATCATGATAGAGATCACCGTGTAGCCAGAAAAGAGAACACATCTAAAGATTCAACCCTGGGGCATCTCAACCTTAGGGTCAGGAAGATAAGGAGAAACCCACTAAAGGGCTGAAAATGGGTCTCTAGTAAGATAGGCTGAGAACCAGGAGCAAGAGAGAGGTCCTGAACCTTAAATGAAGATTATGGGAATGATTCATTTAGTCATGATCAAGAGTCAGGCTAGATGAGGACTGAGAATATATTTTTGAATTTGACAGTGTAGACATCATTGGTAATCTTCACAAAAAGCTGTTTCAACGAATTGTTGGAAATGAAAGCATGTTAGAGAATCTGTGTAGAGAATAGGAAGAGAGGAATTGGAGACAGCTGTAGTCAACCCTCTTGAAAGTTTTACCGCATGCTTATATGTTTCTGGAATGACCAGTACACTCAGAAAAATAGATTTCCTGGGTTTCCACATAGATAGATTTTGAGCATCTTCAATCTTACATGGTAATGTGAAAATTTGGTGTTCCAATTTATACTTACACCAGCAGTATATATGAGTTCAGATTGATTTTCTGGAGTTTGGAGGTAGTATAATGACATTAAAAGAATATGAATAGTATTCTAAAAGTGGAACTATCTGGATACAAACAGATTTTTTTTCCTGAAAGTTACTTAATTGAAACTTTTTCTTCATTGTTTAATCTGAATTAAGAAGGCTTAGTACACATGAGCTGATAATGAGTAATGAAGAAGTCAAATTGGATATATTAGAAAATAAAATGACAGATATATAGGATAGTATATTTGAGAGCAAATTGGCAAACTAGATACAATTTTATATCTAAAACAGTTCTCTTTATCAGCTTTTTCTTATATGGATTATGCCTTAGATGCCATGTTTAAGAATTTTTTGCCTAGCCCTAGTTCATGAAGAGTTTCTTCTGTTTTTCTTTTTAAACCTATTTGGTAGTATATTTATTTAGTCTTTTTGAAGTAATCACTTCTGAGACTTGTCATTGACCTATAGCCAGAGACCACTAGGAACACATCTGTAGTTGAATGAACTGAGTTGATTACTCATTGCCACCAGGGCGAACACACATTTTTGGTATCTCATTAGAGGGTGTTAAAAATGATTTAAAGTTTTTTAGTCTTAGGTTTTACATTAAAAATAGTCATTCATTTTGAGTTCATTTTTATATAAGGTGTGAGACTTAGGTCAACCATTATTATTAAAATTTTAAAAAATATTTTTATTGATTTTAAGAAGTCAGAGGGAGAGAGACATAGAAACATCAATAATGAGAGAGAAACATTAATCGGCTGCCTCCTGCATTGTTCACCCTTAATTTCTAGACCTATAAATACTGGCTTTGACGGGTAGCTGGAAAATAGAATGACTGGTGTCTATAGAATGGATCACCCTACTCACTTAACTTTTAAAATACTTTATTGAACATTTAATTTGGAAAGAACTATCTTTAAATTTGTTGCTCATTCAGAGATGACTGTTCACATACCTCTCCTCCATATTTCCTTGTCACCAATTTTCCAGTCATGTTCATTTCAAGTTCTTGACCATCCAGCCAAACCATTGGCCACAGAATATGAATTAATATATAATCACATGTCTGGCCATATATTTTTCCAAGCAAACTAAAAGCCAGGTGCACAGTTCTCAGTTTTGCTCAACTGGGAGGATTTCCCTTCATCACTGTCCTTCAGTGATGTCTTAGAAAGGGGCTCTAGTGTTTCAGCTGTACACTTTTGAGTGGTGCTTGGATATCCTACAGAACTACCTATAAACCAGGTCTGCATTTGGGTAGGAAGCCAGTTGATGGTGGGGACTTTCCACAAGGAATTCATGGAGCAGTGCAGTAGGAGTTGGCGACCATTGGCATTTGGGCCCCTTCTTCCTTTTAACTTACTTTTACCTTTAGGGCTTGCTCAGTCCTGGTCACATATGTGTCACTTCCATTTGGTGATGGAGTGCTGGTTTGCACACTAATGTCAAGTTTATGACGGGCAGCTCAGATTACATGATAAGTTGTTAGCCCATGATTAAGCATTAAGTCTCTACAAAAGCCCAATAGCAGACTAACAGCTGTTTCTTAAAAGGAGAATCATTACCTACAGTGGATGTCAGAACTTTGTCCCCAAATCCATAAAGGCTATGCTTTGATTCATCAAGAGGCCTCTGCCAAACTTTCCAGACAGCGTCCTGATCTGCCACCGACACCACTGGATCTGCTGGCTTATATGGCTCAAGTAGCAGAGTAGCATACCCAGCTACAGAGCTTTCTCTTGTTCTGGGCACTACTCAAACGTAGCAACATTTTGGCTAAATGGATCAGGGTAACACACCCAATGAGGACTATGTTGCCTCCAACGTCCAAAGATACCTGCTAGGCATTGTGCCTCTTTTTTGTTTGGAGAAAAGGCCAGTTGCAACAACTTATCCTTCACGTTAGCAGAGATATGTTGACATGACCCACATCATTGGACCCCTAGAAATCAGACTGGATTAGAAAGCCCCTGAATTTATTTCTCACCCTCAGACATGCAAATGTCTTGCCAGTAACTCTAGATTGTTACTTCTTGCTTACTAGATCCAATCAGTATAATGGAATTAATATATTGGACCAGAGTGATAATCATATTGAAGGGAAAGGTGATCAAGATCAAGCAAACTAAATTATGATTTATAACTGGAGAGTCAATATATCCCTGAGGTAGGACAGCAAAGGTATGTTGCTGGCCTTGCCAACTGAAAGCAAATTGTTTCTAGTGGGTATTATTGACAGAGATGGAAAAAAAGGCATTTGCCAGATCAACCGTTGCATACCGGTTTCCAGGGATGTATTAATTTGCTCAAGCAATGAAATTACATCTAGTATAGAAGATACATTTGAAGTCACCATCTGTTTAAGCTTAACAATGATTCACTGTCATTCTCTAAGTTCCATCTGTCTTCTGGACAGTCCAGATTGGTGAATTGAGTGGGGATGTGGTAGGAATCATCACCCTTGCATTCTTCAAGTCCTTGATGGTGGCATTAATCTCTGCAATCCCAGGAAAGCCATACTTCTTTGGTTTAGTTATCCTAGGTAAAGACAGTGTAGGGGCTTTCACTTGGCCTTTCCTGCAGTAGCCTTAATTCTACAGATAGGGAACCAATGTGGGGATTCTGTCAAATAATGACTCTGGAACTAGGGAAATAGTCACAGTGAGTTTAGGAACCCACTGTGAGATGAATCTGAGCTAAAACTCCATTAAACTCCAGTGCTCCATCAACCCTACTCTGGAGATGAATCACAGTGACCTTTTATTTTCGTGGAATCAGCTTCATTTCAGAGCCACTGTCCATAAGTCTCTGAAAGGTCTGGTTATTTCTTTTCCCCAGTGCAGTTATCCTGGTGAAAGGTCATTGTTCCCTTTGGGGGAGGATGGGAGAAAGCTTAACAGTGCAAGTTTTGGCAGTGTACCTGGGTCATTCCTTAAGGCCATTCTTTAAGAGGACCTCTTCCCAAGAGGTTCTGGGTCTGTACACTAGCTTAAGTCTGGGAACTGATTATGACTGTTTTTGATTTCGGTTAGGCTTCTGTTCATTTGACCCAGAACTTTTCTGCTTATATCAAGTAAGAATTTAGCAGGCTTCCTGTCTTATTTCTAGGAACAACATGCTCAACTAGCCAATGCCATAGGTCTGTGTGTCAGATTATTCTGATTGCTGCTTTGACTCTGCTATCCATTACGGTAACCAAGCCCACCTTGGCTTTGGTGGTAGAGTGATCCCACTTGGCTGCTGCCACCCTAGGGACCAATTACTCCCATTGCTTTATGTTTCTTAATTCAGTGACTTTAGTTCCCACTGTAAGGTATAGCATAAAAGAAGTTTAAGGATGGCAGGGTTCTCCTCAAAGATTTATTTCTCATAGTAGTAGCTTAAGGTATGTCTTCTGGACCCTTCCAGGATGAGTGAGTAGATCTTTAATGATAAATTCACTTTAATATTCCTACCCTGTTTCCCCGAAAATAAGACAGTGTCTTATAGTAATTTTTGCTCTCAAAGATGTGCTAGGTCTTATTTTCAGGAGATGTCTTATTTTTCCATGAAGAACAATACGGTACACATTTATTGTTAAATGAAAATAAAGGAAATTTATTACCTGTATACGGTACGGTAGTACGGTAGTTGTCAACACAAACCATACAAACTGTGAATCCTTTAGTATCAAGAATTTACTCATTTATTCAATGACAATCATGTCCTCATCTTCTGGAACATCATCATAACAATCCAATTCCTGAATTTCCTGGTGAATTTCTTGTGACTCCATTTCTTCCAGAATCAGTGGACCAAATCTCTCATGTTTAGCCTAGGGGAGCCTTATTTTCGGGGGGATGCCTTATATTTCACTCAGAAGGAAACCTGTAAGTAGGTCTTATTTTCGGAGGATGTCTTATTTTCGGGGAAACACGGTATCTCCCTAAACCTTTTAATTGCTTCCTCTACGTTAAACCATAGCAAATCCACTCACTGTGGGCCGGTTTTTGGCTCATGTTTAAGCCAACCAATCAAACAAACAGAGCCCGTGCTAACTCTCCAAGCTGTAGCATTAAATACAGAATCTTGGTAAGCCTTTATCAATAAATATGACCTGATTAGTCCTTCCATGATTATCCCACACCCTTAATATTCATTTCCATACATGTTCTCTGGATTTCTGTTTGTATAAGTTTTTGTTCTATTCATATCTTAAATGGATCAGATGATGTTCATCCAAATAGGAGGGAGGCAATTTGCTTTACTCAATCTATAGATCCAAATGTTAATCTTACTCAGATCCACTATCACAAAGATACTAGTACTTAGAATAATATTTAACCAAAAATGTTGGCACCTCAAGTTGACACATAAAATTAATCACCACACCATTCAGCTTGGTTTGTTTTCACCTTTTGGCTATTGTGAATAATGCTTCTATGAACATAATGTACAAACAATTGTTTGTGTGTCTGTTTTCAAGTCCTTTGGGTTTCAAATGGTATTTTTATCCAGTTATTGCATATGCTTAGTTGAAGTTTAGAATTCTAGTTGCCAAATCATTTTAATCACCAGAGTCATGTTCTAGAAAAAAAAAAACAGTTGAGTCACATCTGATGCATGTTTAGTAGGTTATATAGGTTTACTTGTACTGTATTTTATAGGTGATTGAAGAGATTTTTAATGCAAATGTTTTATTATACTTGAATTTTACCTAATTCTGTGGAATTAGTCTCTGTGTGTAAAATACAGCTATACAGTATTGGTTTCTTTTTACAAAGCAGAAAAATTTCTTTCCAGATCAATTCAATTCCAATAAAATCAAAATTCATCATTTGGTGCTTTCCGACACTGCTTTGGTTGTATGAAGAGTAGTCTGTGTTCAGGAATGCCACTATGAGGACTACCCTGCTCTTTTAGGGTAAACCCAGTGCAGGCCCACAGGACTTGAGATCAATCATTATAGCACCTGGAGGACTTCACCTTTGTGTTTTCTCAGTGTTAATGAAATAAAAAAAATATCTGCTTCTCTAGTGGATAGAGAAGTTTGAGGAATGCCTGTGCATTTAGTTGTTCATTTTATCATTCAAAGGGACATTTTGAGCAGAGTTGTAAGCAGAGGCATACCTTTAACCCTGGAGATTTCCAGGCATTTGTGGTAGCGGTCATGGCAGCTGGCTGGCCTTTGAGAGGCAGCTGAATGGATGGATACTCTTGGGATAGAAGATCAACTTTGAATTTTAATAAATTTTTGTAAACCTTCAAAAAACAAACAAACAAAAAAACACACAAAGGGACATTTTGAGCAAAGTAAAAGCATATTTCTGTATGTATAACTATTTATAAGTCAATGAAGAGAGGGTGAGAATATTTTAGAGTTGATATGCACATAAAATAAATGGTGATTTTGAAAGAGCACTAAGTTAGATATTGGGAAACACGTTTATTTTACTAAGTCCACTTACTACTTAAAATAATTTATAATAATAAAAGCATAATATGCTAATTAGACCGGATAGCCGAACAACCTTCCAGACATCCTTCTGGAGAAGCCATGGTGGTGGGGCTGAGGCAGAGGCAGTTAGGGGCGAATCAGGCAGGTAGGTGAGTGGTTAGGGGCGATGAGGCAGGCAGGCAGAGTGGTTAGGGTTGATCAGGCAGGTGAGTGGTTAGGAGTCAGCAGTCCTGGATTGTGAGAGGATGTCTGACTGCCTGTTTAGGCCCCATCCTGCAGGGCCTAAATCCTGTAGGGATTGGGCTTAAAAAGGCAGTTGGACAACCCTAAGGGGTCCAAGATTGCGAGATGGTGCAGGCTGGGCTGAGGGACCTCCTCCCTCAATGCATGAATTTCGTGCACCGGGCCTCTCGTCTATATACACTGAGTGGCCAGATTATTATGACCACACCATCAGTACTTCATTGGGCCACCTTTTGCCTTCAATACTGCGGTGATTTTTCTTGGCATTGACTATATGAGATGTTGAAAGGAGATGCGAGGAATTTTACACCATGCCTGATGAATAGCACTGTCCAGTTCTGTGAGATTTGATGGTTGTGGAAGCAGCTGCCTGGTGGCTCTTTTAACTTCATCTTACAAATGCTCAAATGGATTGAGATCTGATGATTGTGGGGGCCACCTAAGCAAGGTAAAGTCTCCCTCATGTTCTTGAAACCACTCTTTCACAATACAAGCACCTTGGCATGGCACATTGTCTTGTTGAAAGAATACAACATCAACATGATAGGATGAACTTGATTAGCAATGATACTTAGGTATGTTGTGCTATTCAGATATTGTTCCACACGAATTAAAGGACCCAAATCATGCCAAGAAAATACTCCGCAAACCATAATACTGCCCCCACCAGCTTGAAGGGTTGTACTCATGCACGTGGGGTGCAAGCTTTAATGCTGTTTCTGTGAAATTCATGTGCTATCTGCTATCTGCTATCTGCATGATGCAACTGGAAATGTGATTCATCGGACCACATGACTTTTTTCCAATGCTGGTCTGTTCAGTCCTTGTGTTCCTGGGCAAATTGGAGGCCTTCGGCTTCCATATTCTCTAGGATGCAGTGTACAGCTAATTTTCCTGCAAACGTCAGGTGATCATCATAATTTTCCTGGCCACTTAGAGTATATATAATATTGTAAAAGGCTAATATCCTGACGCGCACTGACAACCCAGAAGCAGATGCTCAACACAGGAGCTGCTGAGCTGCAGTGACTTGGCAGCAGTGTTTCTTGGGTGATGCACCCTGAAACCAGGGAAGAGGGAGCCCGATTTCTCGCTGGGCTGCATGATTCCACCTTCGGCCCTGGGTTATGTTGTTGCTGGGGCACTGTTGGCCCCAAATCTGGTTTACTGCACACTTGCATTTGCGTCCCATACCCTGTAAGACAGCAACTTTGCAGAGCACCCTCCTGCACTTCGGAACTCCTTGGCGGATGTTGGAAAACCAGTTTTGGCATGATCCCTGCAGAGCAGGCTGAGGGACCCCACCTCAAGGAGGGACCTTGCTCACTCTGCAGACATCCGGGAGGGACCATGGAGGTTACCTCCAGGACATGTCTGGCCCATCTCACCAGTCCCGTTCTGCTGGCCATCTTCTAATTTATTTCCTTTCAATGTGCACCGGCTCACTAGTTAAGATATAATTTTGGACAAGCCATTTTACTTCTGTGAGCTGAAAGACAGTGAAGATAATATGTACTACTATTTTATAGGATTGTGATGATCAAATAAGGAATGTGAAATCTTTAAAATGATATATACATGTTAGGTGTCATTTTAGGCTCTAACCTGATAGAGAAAGTAGCTATTAGACCCAATACGTCTGCTTATATATCATATTGTCTGGTTTCTATGTGCCTGCTTAAAAGGTTTCTACATTTTTCACTGTGGAAATGACTGTAAAGAGAAGGACTCTGATTTTGCCCCAAAACTTCAACTCATTGGAAGGAGAGAAGTGAGAATTTTCTATCTCCTCCAAGCCAATTTGTGACATGAAAAACTGTTCTATTTTACTCAGCATTGTACAGATTACATGGCTTTCACAAACTTTACTAGTGAATCAGAAATTTGTCAGCATATTTCAGCTTGGTATGCATGTTATGTAATATTTTAATTTTATTAGAGACTTTGCAAACTTTTTTTATGTTTTCATGTTCAAGATGGTATATTTTTGAGTAAATTGAAGTTTATTTGATATAGCAGTTTGAAGAGTATCAAACACTGATTTTTTTTTTTTGCAGGCTTTTTGTTTGCTTACCTTTATGTCCTATAAAGAAACTAGAGAATTGAGGTAGACAGACTTTTTTTTTTCTCTAGCTTATTTTGATGAGCCATACAGATGGGTTTGTTATATCCATGTGAGAACAGAAATAAAGTGTTACTTCTGAGATACTTCTTTTAAAGAAAAAGGGACTGGTATTTGTTTTGCTACATATCAAGGAGCTTTTTCTCATCAGGAACTAGAGTTAGAATGAAAAATATCAAAACTTAAACTTAAAAAAGAAACAAAAAACCCCCAGCTTTTTGGAACTGAATAAATTTGAAGTTTATCTTTTTATTTTTCTGAGTTTTGATATGACTCTATGATTACTTATAGTGAGCAATTTGCCTCATCCTATGACATGAGCCAAAAAATAGTGTTAATGCTTGCTAAGACACTGATTCTAGGGCTGGGGAGGGAAAACATAAGAGAGGCCTAGAGCATCATGTAGTAGCAAAAAGTAAGGAAATGCTCAAAACACAAAAAGTTGAAATCATGTAAGTCAAAGGGATATGAGAGCCAGCAGAAAGAACTTATAGTGGCCAACACTGTAACAATTTGAGCAGTAAAGTAAATGATGTAGTATTGAATTATAACTCAAAGTATACAATAAATATCAAATAAATGATTAAATAAATATGTAAATAGTTGAAGAAAGACAAACTACCATTCAAAAGAATTACAAATGATGTTTGCAGATGTTCTTTACTCCAGGAGATAGAATATTATTCCTCTTCTCCCTTTTGAGAGCGGGCTAGACTTAGTCACTTATAAGAACACACTGTAAAAAGAGAAAAACAGTGGCTTCATGTGAAGAAGACTGGCAAATCAGCTGATGAAGATTTACACCTCAGTGATATGATGAGAAGGGCAGTTTATCTCTGTGACATTTTTTCTAAAAACTAGTAACCTTAGTTTAGTCACAAGACAAGACAAATTTAAATCCAGGATCATTCTACAAAATACTCGATCAGTACTCCTTAAAGCAGTCAGTACCACAGAAAAGAAGCAAAGACTCAAAACAGTCACATACCAGAGGAGATGGGGAAGACAAGATGCTACATGTAGTGTAGTATACTGGCTGGAGTCCTGGAATAGCAGATGGACAATATGGAAAAATGATGAATAATAATAATTGGGCTTAATTGATAGTAATGTACCAACATTGGTTTCTTCGTTTTGACAAATTTGCAGTTGTAATGTAGATGTTAATGATAGGGAACACTGGTGAAGGGTATACATATACTATCTGTATTATCTTTCAACTTTTCTGTAAATCTAAGATGATTTCAAAATAAAATGTTTATAAAAAAAAACCTTGGCAAATTTCTTGATCATATAAAATCAAATAATGTGAAGAATAAAAATTGCTTATGTTAACCAATTTTCCAGTTATCATTTTTTAAAATACTGTAATTTTCTCCTAAAATTAAATAATAAGCTGTGTTGCCACTGTTTGGATTTATAAATTGTCTTATCCATACCAGTAGCTTCATTTTTAGTTAAAATTTAGTGACCTTTTAGAAGTCATATTAATATCTGAAACTTTTAAAAAAGTAAAAGGAGATTAATAAAGTACAGATTAATAGCTGTATATTTTGAAGTGAAGAAGTTAATAATTTAGTATAGTGGTGCTTAGGAAGTGATTTGTGATCCTTTTGAGGATTATAATTTTGAAAATGCTGAGGTTCTGTTGATATTGTACTTCATTATAATATAGCACTCTGGAAACTAAAAAATTAATAGTATTGTCAGTTATGGCAACATATAAAAGCAATAAAATAGAACAAAAGAATACTTAAGAGAACTTAAAATATAAGACTTATTAACTATGAAAATGAATATAAAGAAATTTCTTGTCACTTTTTTTCTAGATTTACTATCTAGGATAGATTTGGATGAACTAATGAAAAAAGACGAACCACCTCTTGATTTTCCTGATACCCTGGAAGGATTTGAATATGCTTTTAATGAAAGTAAGTGGTGTATGCTACATACAATATTTATTTAACAATGCTGATAGAATCACAGAACAGATGTTATTTACTACTTTTATGTGCCAGCATAAATGTTTTATGTATTTCTGTTGAGAAATACTTTCATGGCAAAATTCTTCATTTAATTAAAAGAACTAAGTCATGTTTTTCCATAAATTGTGAAGTCACTTAAACCAATGGACATGAATTAGATTCAGCTTACTAGTTATGTATTTCAACCCTAAGCATTCAACTCCCTAGTATCTAATTGGAATTCCCAATTATATTATATAGACATAAGCTACTTTTTCATGTGTTATTTAAAACGAAGTGACTTGCAATGATTATCTGTGATGATATTTTAAAGTTTACTAAATTTTCTGTGACTTTTTCAGGCAGCATTCTTGTTTCAAAGTTTATTAATTAAATTCTGAATAATGGAAATTTGTACTTGGAATTTAGAAGAACACACTATAGATTGCAATAATGTTTCTGAACAAAAATTTATGATTATTTGGATTAATAATACATTGTTTTTACTTAAAGGTAATGTTATTACAGATTAGGTAGCATTTGAGTTGTAGCTTTCTGTTTGTTTCGCATCAGCTAAATTGGTGATCTGTCATTGCTGTGTTAGTGGATATCCTTTTACAATATTAATTATACTAGAATATTAAATGAGTTTAAAAAGAAGATATTAGAAACTTTTATTGCTTTTCTGACATTAATGTTTATGCTTTTTAAATAAAGGATATTTTATTCCAAAATATGTATGAGTAATAATGTTTTATTTTTTAAAAATGTCTTTATATTTTAACTAACAGAATCAAATGAGCACTGGGAGTGACATTGCATCTGGTCCTTTGAAATAATTACTGGTTTATTTTATTCAGAATTGGAATGGGAAGTGTGTTGGTAGTGTGGGTAAATCATAGAAATATATAGGATATCAGTTTTTACTGAAGTCTGTCTTTCATCTTCCTTGAACATTTTTTTAAATAAGTAGAAAACAAAGGAGCAATATACTTTTATTTCTTCCTTATCAGATATGTGCACATACATGTGTGCATGCACACACACATATCTTACATTTACACCTTTGGGTGCACATGGTCTGCACTCACACTTTTGTACACACCTACCCCTTTGCACATGCACGTGCCCTTTCATGTACACACCTCAAATGCACATGCATCCTTGCACAAACCTATCATTTATTTTTTAAATATAGTGGACATTGTCTTGCATAAACATAGGCTAACAGAATTAGGCAAAGATGCTTGCATTCCAAGGAGAGAATGCCACTTTTAAGGATCTTATTTTTAGCATGATCAAAATCACCTTTGAATTCAGGGTTAATGATGAATACTTTTCAAAGAGGTGAAGATTTGAAAACAGGAAACTGAGTCTCAATATTAAATCCCTAAAAGGTTAAGTCCCACTTAGTATCTTCGGGACTTCCTTTTTAGGTTTATAACTCTTATGAAAGCCTCAAAATGAAACTTTAATTACCTTACTGGAGAAGCTACTACATTTTTTTAAAGGATTTTAAAGTTCTTAATTAGGTAAAAGTAAAATTTGGAAACAAAGCTCACTCTAAGCTAAAGAGTAGAGATTCTTTTTACCTGAGTCAAACTGATACATGTTCTTTCAAATCACTGTGCCTGTTTAAATGCTCCTTTGGTTTAAGATGTTTACTTAGCCATTCTCTGGTTATAATTATACAAGGCCCAGCTGAAATGTCTTTGCTTTGGAAGATGAAGAAGGTGAAGATTTCCTCCTTTTTCCCTCACCCACACTCCCTATGCCCAAGTGCAGTATTATGAGGAAGCGCACTTTTGTATCACCATAAAAGTAATTGTACTTGTTTGTAGGCTATTTAAGTTTGAATTTTGTCTTTCATTATGTCTGATATTTATTGAACTCTTACCACAAAAAAGTATCCCATATACTTTCAATTGCTTGATTTATTTAGGCCAGTGAGAGCCTATTTTGGTTCCTAGCCTACCATGAATCTGATAAAATATATATATGCATATCCTGGAATAATGCACTTTTGTGTATACATATGAAACTTTACAGCTGATTTTAGAGGACCCTAAGCTACAGTGTCCTAAATCATACCTTTGACAATTATTGGAGAGATTTTCCAAATCTTTGAGAAATGCCAAATTTGCAGATACCACTATAACAAAAGTGATACAGATTGCTTTTCTAGATAAGAATACTCACTTCTTTTTTTTTTTTCTTTTCTTAATTTTGCATTTTTTCACTTTTAACACCAATGCTAATAGTTAGCTCTTTTGTTGGGGCCTATTTTTTCATAAAAAAACGAAAATCCTTATTACATTATGAGAAGTATTATGTCCAAAATGAGTAGAGAATTAATAAACAAAACAAACTTCTCTTTGAGATGTAGATGAAAGTGGCCTGTTAAATTGACTTAACAGCTAGGTAAGTCAGTTCTCTTTCACAAGTAGTCTCTCAGAAAATATATTTCACATTTCTTTTACATATTACTATGTCATGTACCATTAAGGCTGCTTTAGTCAAAATCACAATTGTTAAACTTACAGGTGTCATCAATCTACTTGAATTGATATTTTATATGGGAATTTCTCTTTCCTAGAAAGTAAAACATAGATACATCTATTTTTACAACATTATTTGACATAAAGAATGTGATAGTGATTCAGTATTGTGTCTTATGTTGAGAGTACTAAAAAGAACTTCATGATAAAGGATTAGCCTTTATTTTATATATTAAAAATATCCATTTTATGTGAGGTAAAATTGATACATTAAAAATAGTGAAGTAGTTTTACTTGAAGTAGTATATTTCCTGGATTGAGTTTTCGTTCATAACTTTCAAGTCTTTCTCCACTCCTCCATGTATAATAATCATATACTAACTCCACTCGTCTTGGTCATGTTCCTCTTCTGCCTCTAACCCCCTTCTTGTGCCTCACTGCTCTTAGGACAAAGTCCAAGCCCAGTAATTTGGGCCTTCTACTATTTGATCCCAACATGTGTTAATAGTGTTAAACTGTACTATTTGCCTCAACATTGCTTTTGTTTCTATTAAACTGAATTGTCTCCTGTTATTTGAATTTGCTGTCCATTTTTTTTGTAATTTTGTTTATATTGCTGGGAACTAAGGGGAGTTAAAGCAGTTTGCCTGTGGTCTATTTCTCTTCTGATTCCCGGGGGAATATTAGGGAAAGAAAGAAGACAGGTGGACTGCTCTTTTCTCCTTGTTAACATGCTGATAATTTAATCTTTTAGTGAATACAGACTAGTGTTTGCTATGAGGAGAATCCTTCTCCATGGAATAAATTCAGCAGGATAACTCGTTTGGCATTGCTTATGGTAAACAAAGCTTTATTCTATGGATATGTGAGGTATGCTTCTTTGAAGAATATTAAATAGGCAGTATCACTCTCTGGCACATAAAATGAAGTATTTATGTAACTAAATGCTCACCAATGTGTAAGGTAAGCTGTATGACTCACTTAGAGACTTCACCTTTTCTGGACCAGAGAATGCTGTCCACTGAGAGGAAAGGGCCTGGGAAGAAATTCTTAGGCTCTTTCAGACCTCTCTCTCTGTTTTGTCTGTTTCTCTTGATCACTTAAACCCTTGAAATTATTAGTTAAGTTATTCATTATCAATAAAAGCTTTCAATTGAGTGAGTTTACCTTGATAGTCCAAGCCAGTATTGGTTGACTCCCTTTCTCCATCTTTCTTTGAAATTTCACCCCATATTTCAAAGCCTCATTGAAAAATCTCACCAAAACCTTCTGAACATATTCTAGCCTATAGTGATCCTTCAGATTAATCCAAATTCATCTTAGATTTCATTGACTACATGAATTGCCTGTGGCAGTTTTTAGATTATTGACTTCCTTATTTAACTTCTTAAAAAGTTGCTTGACTTTTCCATACCTATGTTTTTACTCTTCAGGTTTTTAGCTTAAGAACTGGGACTTTTTATTGAGGGCCCTCAAATACTGTTAATTTTCGTTAGATTAGAAAATGAAGATTAGAAAACATAGTATTTGAGTGCTTGGGGCTATTCTTTTAGGATATTTATATGTTTGTATCATACTGATATTTAAAGAGAAAATCTAATGAAAAATAAGACAGTTCTGAGAAAGTTCTTTAAAATTTTTAATCAGACATTAGTTGTACTTTAGATATTATTATACATTTACTCTGAATCATAGCCATATTGTTTGTTTATCTTCTAGAGGGTCAGTTAAGACACATAAAAACTGGGGAACCATTTGTTTTTAACTACCGAGAAGACTTGCACAGATGGAATCAGAAAAGATACGAAGCTCTAGGAGAGGTATGGTCTACCTTGTGTTTTTACAATTTTGAATAAAAGTGTTAAACGAAGTAATTTATGGACTTGTTCTACAAAAAGTGATTTCAAAAAGATTTTGTTATATTATTTTTTAGGTTACTTTTAATGGTTACGTTAGAAACACACTCTCAGTTTAAAAGTTTGTTGTTCTATATACATATCTTTTCTATGACCTTAATATTTTGTAGTGAGTCATTATGTTAGAAACAATGCCAATTTTTAAAAGTGTTTTAAGAAGATGAATCTCTGCTATTCCAGGAGTAGTAAGTACTCTTTTAAGTGCTTACCTAAAAAAAACAGTTACCTATGTTTGCTATGTAAGGTGATGGCTATGTTAATTATCTTGATCTTACTAATCATCCTACATTGATATCAATTCATCATGTTGTACACTTCAAATATATTCGATTATGTTTATCAATTACTTCTCAATAAAAAATTTTAAAGCGCTTATCTATATGATATTTTGCTAACAAATTAGGTCTAACCTACTTACTTTGGACTTGATAAAGCATTAGGTCTTGTAACCATTAGGTTCTTCACATGGTACTGCTAATTGAAACCTTTGAAAATATCATTTGTCATTAAGGTGAATGTTTTGCTAAAGCTAAAAGTTTTACTCATTCTATGTCATAGTAAGTACTTTTAATAAAATGCATACTGGTGTGGATAATTAGACTACTATTTACTTCTCTAAGGAAAGCTGACATTGCTCTTTTTTTCTTTAGCTCTTTAATAAAGTAATTAAATGGATTACTTAGTTAAACAATAGCATAAGAATATATGAAACAATTTATGTTTGCTGGGAGACAATTCTTTGTAAGTTTCTTGAATTTTTGCACCTGCATTGCCTAGATTTCCACCTCCTCTGCCTGCATTCACACTTGTGTTAATGATCACATTGGCCCCAAGTGATCACACAACATTGCAAGATTTAATTTTCAGTGCAATATTTTTCAAATTTAGATCATTGGACCCCTGAGTTTTATGTACCAATCTCATTTATTCCCCAAAATGAGCACAATAAAAGACCCAAGGGTTGGAGAAAGAAGCTCAGTTATTATGACATTTGTTGCGTGTCATCTAGCTTCCATGTCTTATTTGAAATACTTGTGTTATTGCTAATTTCACTATCAAAAGTTGATTATTAATTGGATTTCAGTTCTTACATGTTAGGCGTGAGATAAACAAGTTCTAGTTATTTATGAGTAATGACACAATTTTCACTACAGTGAATTTATTTAGAGTTCATTGTACTGGGATTTAATGCATTTGTGGACCTGCCTTTTCATCTATATTCCTTAATATCCACATCCTTAATGCACCTTCAAGTTTCAGGTTAGATTTAACCACTTATTATCCTTCATTTGCACCTTGTACTTATTATCCTTCATTTGCACCTTATGCTATTTTCTCTCTCTGAGATACCCTGCCTCCCTTGTTCACGATTCTCCTTCTTCCACCTGCCTTCAGGTTATGGCTCAGATGTCTCCTCCTTTTTAGAAGCCTTCCCTCATCTCTGCTATAGTCTTTTTCTCTGCTCAATTTCCTTTCTTCTCATATCTTTTTCTTCCTATCATGTCTTCTTCAAAAAAAAAAAAAAAAGAAAAGAAAAGAAAATTAAAGGTGAATGCCATTTATTAATAGTAAAAATAAATAAGAAAATAGAATTTAAAAAATAATGCTAGTAAACCAAAGATATGAGTTTGCTTTATTTTCTTAAGGTATTTCACTTTGTATTATAGTACTGTTGCATGTCTTTAAGCAGTTTGGGAAATTTTTCTGTGTCAGAATACTGTTTATATGATAGTTGTTGAAAATAAATGAGTGTGATACAGATATATAAATTGTTTAGCACACATTCTGGATCTATGGATTTTTAGGGAATTTTTTAATGTTAGGAATTTAAACATAAAGATATGTAAATTTTCTTATTGGAAGGAAGGAAAATGATCTGTTAGTGATAATTTTCCCATTTGTAAAGCTAAATAATTTTATTTTTTTATTCCAATTCCCATTTAAGTTTTAAAAGTGTCAGACTCCTAAAGCTTTCCTAATTAAGTTATTTGATAAAAAATAGAATCTATTTGTGGCATATTCTTTTGGAAAATTTTTAACCTTCATGGTCAAACTGTAGATTTATATCACTATAATTAAGAATATGTAAGTTCTTATGTATATAATAACTCACAGTTCTTAAAAACAAATAAACTTTTGTATTTAGCTTCTGCAAATAATTTAGTACTATATATTACCAATAATATGTCTTAATAGTTAAGCAAGAACCCTTAGAAAGTATGTCACCATGTCCTGGACATAAAATGCACTGAAAACTTCCTGCTCCTCCTTGATGGATAGGGCAGAAGATAGTGCAAATTTGAGTTTATTGCCTGGGAGACTACCTTAATAAACAGCTTTTGATATGCATAAGATTAAAGTTTAAAGGAAAGAGATTTTGACTTTACCAAGCAATCTAAACCAAAACCCCTTTAGTTTTCACAGTGTTTGTCTACTAAATCAAATTATCATATTTTTGTCTTCAATTGAGAGCTTCTTTAGGGTTGGGCAAAAGTAGGCTTACAGTTGTTGGTATGGAAAAGAATACAATAATTAATAAACAATGATACAAGAATAAACTATTTCAGGTACTCACAACTGTAAACCTTTTGCCCAACCCTGTTTATGTTTCAGAGCTGCTGTTTTAGTTTATGTTTATTTCTCTCTTAAGGAGGTTATTATAGCAGTTATTCAGCAGAGATTGTTTTTAAGACTTACTCCTGAAATGTTCTATCATTTCTATGTAAATTTAATTTATTGTGTAAGTAAAGTAAACTGAGATGTCACATTGTTTTTAGAATACAGTGCCATAACTACACAAAAGAATATGGTTTATATCCATATAGTTACATTTTTATAGTCCAAAAATTGCCATTGCTAATCTGTATCTATATTTTTTACTATCTACATATAGCTCGATGAAAACATGTAGCCTTTAAGAAGTTTGTATAATTTCTCTAAATTTAGAAGGATATTGTCAGTTGAAAGAGGTGGGAGTGGTGTGAATGGGTAATTTTTTAAATAGAAGTCTTCAGTGTATATATATATTGGGGTTGAATGCTAGGGAATGTTTCTGGTAGATTAAATCAGGAAAACTAGAAAGGCTATTATGTTAAGTAGTAAATAGAATGGTAAAAACTCTATTTGTAACTTGAAAAATTTTGTCAGCTCTTCCATGTGAATACTGAATTTCTATTATATCAGATGGAGAATTTATAATCCTGCAGATTTTCTAATGAAAGAGAGATTTGAATTTCTTGCCTAATTTGGGTGTTTGCATTTCTTTTTATATTTAACTTGATTACCTCAGAAGTAATTGTCAGTGTGCTTAAGAGAATAGCAGTGATTTGGTAGTCCAATAAGCTGGGCTGGCTCTTTCTTTTTAGAGTGTTACATTACAAAAAGAACTAAGGACAAACTTTTTTTCCTGAACCTGACTTAGTAATATGTCTTGTAAAATAGAAAATTATTAAAAAGTGTTACATTTTAAAAAATGGAATTTATTAAAGAATATAGGCCAGTGATATCTTAAAGGTTCTTATAGTGGCCATATTCAGATATTTGAAATACAAGCAACTTAAAGTAAGGAATAATAACATAAACTATCATCATTTTATGTTCAAATATTTTCATATAATGTGATTATCTGTATATAAGTAATGTCTTCATATAATATGTGATTCACATGTCTTATAATAGAATCAAAGGGTTGGCCATTATGAAATCCAGTTCTTTTTCTGTCTTAGTCACCATCTATTTGACTTAAATATAATATAATATATATATATTATATATATAGATAGATAGATAGATATTTCTGAGCCTCCACTGTAAAATGCGGATACAATTTTCTGTACTGTTGTGAATAATAATAAGTAAGATGCATACATGTGATATTTTATTTTCTTTAATGTGCCCAGCAAATATTAGGAGCAAGAAATGAAGATAGACCTTTACTATTTAAGATTTCTAAGTTATATTTGTTATATAATATACAAAATCAATAAAATATATATAAAAAAAGAGAACATAATCCTAATATTTTACACATCTGATAACATCTTGGAAATACACAGAGCAACAACTGATAGAACTAAAAGTCAATAAATCCAGTTATAGGTAGAGATTTCAGCACCCTTCTCAATAATTTGTAGATAAAGTAGATGAGAAGTTAGGGAGAACATAAGAATTTGAACAATACCATTACCTAACATTGAAAAGATATTTTACAATACTCCATCCAACAATATAAGAATATACCTTTTTGAGTGCACTCAGAACATTTACCAATATAGACCATATTCTTGGCCATAATGGAAGTCTCAACAAAATTAAGAGGATTCAAGTATTAGGAAGTGTGTTTTCTGATCATGCACACACAATATGTTCTCTCTGATAGCTATCTGGAAAAAAAAATCCTAATTTTATTGTCTAAAACTAAATAATACAATTTGAATAACCCAAGAGTCAAAGAAAAGATTCCATGGAGAATTAGAAAATATATGTAATTTACTAAAAGTTGAAATATAGCATACTAGTGGGGTACAGCTAAAGCAATGCTTAAGGTTTCTTAAGGTTTTTTCTTAAGTACAAAGGTTTCTGATTGAATACCTAAGCTTCCACTTTTAAGAAACTACATAAAGAAGAGCAAACAAAACCCAAGTAAGTTGAAGAAAGAATAATAAAGAGCAGAAATGAATTAAATAGAAAACAGAAAGGCATTAAAGGGGAAAAAGTCAATAAAACCAAAAGCTGGCTCTTTGATGATATCAGAAATTTTAATAAACCCTTAGCTAGGAGACACAAATTGGCAATTTAATATGTAAAAGAGGGGTTATCACTACATATAGTACAAATATTTAGCAGATAGTCAGGGAATGGTAATATAAAGACTCTGTACCAATAAATTCAATAATTTAGCTAAG